TGATTTGGCACTCCCGCCTACCCCTTCCAGGCTAAGGTTTTTCATGTCCACTGCTCTGCATGGATCGGCATGCTCAGTATTCACCATAAATTCTTTGTTGACTCTGGCGCTTGCATTCTAGATAATCCATGTGTTCTGACTGCGAATGGACTAGACAAACAAATATCAGAGCGGCAAAATGTCTCTTTTTCTTTTCGCTAAGACGCGCGGTGTGTATCATTGCATTGCGAGAGCAAAGTACAAGAATAGAGTTCGCCAACCCACGTACACTAGGATGCGTGAAGGTGAACCCCAAGAGAAGAAAGAGAGGGGGTGCTCAGCCAAAGTAGAAGGGTTACTTTAAATCAAACTAGATCATTGAAGGCGCGCGTTGCTGCGGCCCGTCTATTTTTACTATGGATTCATAGAAATTTTCACAAGTATTTGAAGAAAAAAAAACTTAAGGCTATTCAATCTCATCATTGCCATCCTAATCGTTAATTTAAGAATAAAGCATGCAAGCTGGATCATTAAAAGAATCTCATGACATAAAACTTACTTTTTTTAGCCCTAGCATACAAAAAGGACCCATGCCACACAAGATGCTTTACAGCTTACACATTATACTTGACAAAACATATATCTGAAGTTTATGCAAAAATATGTTCATTGGTCTTAAAAAGAAGCTTGTCTAACCTGTAGGGATGTGGAGTAGACTCGTTCGTTGTTCAGGTCTCAGTATTGCATTACTGCAGAGAGTAGTTGAGTAGAATCAGGAAGATATACTATTTTCCCACGCCGGTGCCGAGAAATTGTAAGAATATGGTCGAGCATGGGTGACGCTTTCTAGTAAGATCGTGGATGAGAAGGAAATACATGTCAACTTCCATGATGCTAGTACAGAATATATATGAGACCACATTCTGAAGATGCAAAGTTTCATATTGCAATAATAACTAACTAAAAAGACACTTCAGAGAAACAATAAGGTATGTAGATGTAGAATTATCTTTGCACTGCAAAATATTAAGTGTCTGCATTCTTCATGTAATCATAGTCCTACTAAGAAGCATACTTCTCTATTGCTGTGAAATTCACATCCATGTAGTATTTTGCAATAACTGATGTAAAGCTTATTTAATATAAAGGTTCACAAAATTAACACCGAACTAATTTTAAGCATAATCTGTCAGTTCACCTCACAAGTTGAATAAGATCATACGAACAGATTCAGGATATGTTCTCTTGTCAGGTCTTATGCCAAAAGTTTTCGACTCTGCGTATGGTTTGCCCATGACTGCATGCTTCAGTACAACTGATTATTCCTGCATGGTTCCTACCATTGTATCACCAAAAGGTGTCTCATTAATCTTCTTTGCGGCTGGGCTGAAACTACAGTGAAACATTAGGCAATATAGTTCAGTTCAATGGTTAAGACTCAAGAGGATAGGTGATGAGAACCTTACCCTTGCCATTGGATCAAGATGAGGAGGCTGGCCACGGGGAGCAGTGCACGGCAGGAACCGCAGGCTGCAGTGCCACTGTGTTGTGTCTTCGTCAGTGAATCATGGAGGAGGAGAAATGAGACTGGGAATTGGGCTAAGGGTACCTAGGCAGTGGAGCCCGCCGTTATTTCCCACCACCACCCACTCCTCACGGCTCCTCCATGCCTATGTCGCCGTCATGTTTTTCGCCACTCTGTTGTCGTCGCATGTCAGAGGGGCTTCCGCCGTTGCTGGCTGCGTTAGGGTTGCGAGTGCAGTACTGCTCCTTCTCATCTTCCTTGCACACCGCCGGGCAAGTTGCGAGCCGGTGCCAGAGACGAGAGGTCGGCAGGATTACTTGGGAGGGATGGGTCCGCTCGACTATCCCCTCGCGCTGGATCCCCTCGCCGATCCTCTTGTGACGCTTCGGCTGGAGCGCGTCCACTAGATCCCCACGCGCACCTCAGCTGGGGATCCGTTCATCCTCTGACTGCGCCATGATGTAGATGTAGAATTATCTTTGCACTGCAAAATATTAAGTGTCTGCATTCTTCATGTAATCATAGTCCTACTAAGAAGCATACTTCTCTATCGCTGTGAAATTCACATCCATGTAGTATTTTGCAATAACTGATGTAAAGCTTATTTAATATAAAGGTTCAAAAAATTAACAC